CCCTCTTGTTCAGAGGACATGCCGTAGCCTTCTGAAGACACCACTCCTGCAGCCTTTGTCGGTTGGATCACCCTTGGGGGCTTTTGATCCACAGCTGCACGGCATTCAATAAGAACGTCGTTGCCCTGGGCAGCCTCCTCATCCCTGCAGGTTGTTGGGCCACATTCCAACGTAGAGCTCTGCAGTGGTGATGAGCTCTTCATTGGAGAAGCACTCGGACTGGAAGAAGCACTTCGTTGCCATGTAGAGCTCGGTTTTGTCGTAGACTGTATAGAGCTCAATTGGGTCGAAAAACTCTTCTGCAGTACATTGTATAAGAGGGTCTGTATCCATTGCCTTGTTGAGCGCGTCGATCCATTGTCGCATCTGTTGTTGCATCAACAGCATCTGTTGCTGCTGCTGCTGCTGCTGCTGCACCTGCACCTGCATGGCATTCAGCTGATTCACGGCCGCTGGAACTGCTGGGTGTCGTCGGACAAATGGCTGTCCTCACATCTGTCCTTATGATGTCACAAGAGGCACACCCAGCTGCATGTCCTTGAATTATAGAGCTGGTCCACGTAGTGGCACTCCGTCGGCACGTGCGATCTCCATCCCACTGCGAAGCTGCCGTACGGTCTGATTCTTCTCGTCGGACCTCTCTGAACTGGCGTAGTGGAGATTCATGATTTATGGTCATCCCCGCCACTGTCGTACCCCTCCGCTCTGGAGATTCTCAGCACCATTTGTGCGGCTTGCCTTTTCTGATGATCTGCATAAGGTCTGGACTGTTCGGGTCCAAAGCAGTAAACCACCGAGTACCAGCCATCCTGCTTCTTCACCATCTTCATGTGCGTGGGGTTGGTCACTTTGTGGGGATCCTCTTCTGATTGATCTTCTATATAGGTGTCGTCAGTTCCTGGCGTCGATGGCGCAGTTGAATACGATCCTGGGGTTAACAGGCGCAAGCCGCTGTTGTGCCCGCTGTAGCCTCCGTCCCCTCACACCACTCTGGTTCCGAAGCGTTGGAATCTATCAGCGATGCGTCGGGCTCCCTCCTCCTGCACGTTGCAGAACCTTCCATAATCGTTTTCGAGGCCTTCCGTTCCGCCTCCATCACTGCAGGTCGTTCTCCTTGGCCCAAGGATCCCGACCCTGAAGGATGCCTAAGTAGTTATGAAGACAACCTCCATGGTGCTGGTGGCGGCGCCGAATTCAAAGTTGCGAGTTGGGTCCCAAACCAAGGTGTGCGCTGGAGACTTCGATCTCTATCGTGCTCCTCTGCTGGTTCGCTGGTTGGTTGGCATGTCACCACCTCGTCTTGCGGCATCTATGTTTGCACTGACCCCCCCGACTCTTCTGCGCTTCTCCTTGGAGAAGCATCCCGGGGCCATGGCGTCGATGGGTCCTCTTAAGGTTTTGTCTTCACCAGCAACTTCATCGGCGCGTCCCATCGTAGCTCTCTCAGTTGGTGGTCATTCCCAAATCGAAGCGATCCCATGGCCATGGCCCTTGGAGTTGGCAGGATCGACAGGGCCTGAGAAGTCTTGGGCCAGAGCTGCGGTTGTCACCCATGCAGCAATGCTGGTCATGTGGCTTCTGCTGAACCCCAGAACCATCACCAACCAACTCACTATATCATCTCTACTGTCCACCTGAGTCGCATCCACTTGCGGTGCAACATTTTGATCCAGATTTTCGGGCTGCTCTGGTTGCTCGTCGAAGGAACGGGGTGTAGCCTGTTCAACCTGAAGTTCCAAATTTTCCCGACCTCCAGTGATTGCGCATCACCACTTGGTATAGATCTTGCTACAGAGCTCGGTCTCCATCTCATGCCAGCATGGTGGAAGCCTGAGCAGCTGTTTCTGTTTCATGGCAACCTCTGCGTAACTTCACCCACTTCATCATCGGCGAAGTAGTGCTATCCCTCGGTCTCTTGCTTATGGTTGCAGCGGATCTTGGTCCTCAAACTGCTTCTCATGGCTCGAAGAGTGGATGATCTGCACTGATTGCACATGTTGATCACCTTTGGTGGCCAAGACGGTTCCACCACATTGCCAGAAGGCTGCAACCGATCCGTGGGTGATGCATACCAAAGGACATCTGCTACTCCCCCCCAACCTGGAAACTTGTTTTGGGTGACTTGTGTCTTGCCCCGTGGGTGGCTGTGCCTCTTCTCTTTAACCTTCTAGGGTGTGCTTTTTGGCTCTTGTTAGAGTCTTTTTAGCACCGACATCCCTCACTTAACCTCACCCTGCAATAGAAAAAGTGCACCGCATCGTTCCAGCGCTTGCATCAACTTGCCAGTTGCATAAACTTGCCAGTTGTAGTCGCTCCACTGACTCCCGAAGATGACTTTCAGCCTGCGCCTGTTGACATACTTCACCATCGGGGAAATCTTGGCAGCCCGGAGTGTCCGGTCAAAGAAAAAAACCATTTCATTGGCATGGTGGATCTTCTGGTCAGTCATTGTCATCTCAAACTTTTCAAGAACCCTGGGCTTCTTGAAAGCTGCATTTTCCATAGAAGCCTCGACATTCTGAGAAGCATCCATCTCTTCCAGGTGTCATCATTGTCATTGTCGCTCTCCATCCTTGTGGCCGCAGCTCACATCTGAAAGTTATTCAACGCTGCACCCATCAATGCCTTTGTGTCAACCCATCTGCCATCAGATGTGACGTGCCACAGTTGTTCTGGGCATCGAAGTGGATCACGTAGGGCATGGGTACATGTATGCTCACGTGACGTGTCTCGTCCTCCAACAGTCCCGACTCCGTGGATGCTGACTCAGTGCCGCCTCAGTGTCACCGTTATATAGAGGAACTTCTCGAAGTCTTCGATGCCGGGTCGCCGTGAGTGGGGACCAAATTGCTTCGCCACCTTGGAATGCTGTTGAATATATACCCCACAAGCTCCGACTCCGCAGCCGAGGGAGCGGCAAAAAGTTGACGGCATGAAGCCCCATGTAGGACTTGGTTCAGCAACCCCGCTATTGTTCAGGTGGAGGTGCCTATATGGGAGAATAAAGGAGATGATGACCAAGCGGTTCTCCGTTTGAGGTAATAGTTAGGTATAGGTGATGACATTTTCCATACAGGCTGTCAAGTTGCCCTTGGTATCTGTAGCCGGCTGTACCCTTCATGTGCTTGAGCAGTTGCTGTCCCAGGGCATTGATGTAGCGTGGTCGCCGGTGTGCCAACCTTCCCAGCAAGCCCGTTCCGTTCCTTGCACGTCGTGGTGATTCAGCATCAGCATGTCCAAGATGTATCCCATCTGCCTAAAGAATGCTGCTCCTTGCTTGTACTTCTTCAGCTCTATTCCCCTGAAGCGTAGCCCCTTCATGCCGGCCAACAGCTTACGCGGCGAGCACTTTCAAAGCGACTTCACCGCTCCTGCCACTGCTTTGACCTGTTCAGCTCCTACATGATCAGCATGTCGTCGACATACGCCAGAATGTAGCCATCCTCAGTGTCTCGACCCGGCGTATCGTCCAGACATGCTGCTCCTTGGATAAACTCCACTCCCTGCAGCCGCCATCGAAGCTGTGGTACGTGCTCATCACGGTCTTGATTGGTATATTGGAGGGAATGAATGAGCCCGTGGGGCGCCAGATGGCCTTGAGGAGCGATGCTGGCTCCCCAAACGTTGCCCTTGTCAGTTGGGTAGTGCGAGGGTTTTACATGTATAGCGGCAAGCGTATGAATCGCTTCTGCTTGCTGCATTGGCCAGCTCCTCCCTCTCATATAGTTGCTGCAAACCACCGCTCTTCCGACTCTTCCCTTTTTCCTTGAAGCAGGTTTCAGCGTGCATCCTCTCCATTGCAACCTCTCATATAGCGCTTCTCCGCATTCTCCATCATCTTGTAGATGGCGATGTTCTCCACCACTTGGCACTTTCGATCCTGCAAGAAATCTCCATTTTCTTCTTGCTGTCGAATCTCTGCCTTAGCCAGCTCCGGGCAGTACAGTGCAGCATCTTCTGGTGCTTCCGGGTCCTATTGTGTGAAGTCATCCTCCGCACCTCGTCCTTGCATGTTGATGTGGCAGATGGATCTCCGCCGCTCCTTGTGCAAGAGGAGCTCCAAGTTTATCCGTGGGCACCGCACACTTCCCGATCCTTGCCCTGGACGAACGGTCCCATTTCAGATGTCGAGAAAGTGTCGAAAAAGTGCACGCCGTTGTGGTGCGAAGCACATTTCGAAGTCAAAAGTGTAAAAAACTGAGGGTTTTGGGCCTTTTTTGACGTGAAGATGTCGAAAAAGTAGACACTGATTAACTTAACTAACTTGACTAACTTAACTAACTTCACTACCCTAACTTCGACGACAACAGCAACAGCAACAACAACAACAACAACAACCACAACAACAACAACAACAACAACAACACCAACACCAGCCACAACCACAACAACAACAACAACAACAACTACAACTACAACAACTACAACAACTACAACAACTACAACAACTACACAACAACTACAACTACAACTAGAACTACAACTACAACAGCTACAACAACAACAGCAACAACAACAACAGCAACAGCAACAGCAACAACAACAACAACAACAACGACAACAGCAACAGCAACAGCAACCAACAACAACAACAACACCACCAACACCAGCCACAACCACAACAACAACAACAACTACAACTACAACAACTACAACAACTACAACAACTACAACTACAACAACAGCAACAACAACAACTACAACTACAACTACGACAACTACAACAACAACAACCTACTACTACTACTACTACTACAACTACAACTACAACTACAACTACAACTACACAACAACTACAACCACACAACAACTACAACTACAACAACTACAACTACAACTACAAAACAACTACAGCTACAACCATATGACTGCAACTACACTACACTAATTACATTACACCACAACTGCAACTCCACTACGCTACAACTACAACTACAGTTGCAGTACATCACACTACATCCAGCAGTTGTGGGTGAGGTGACCACTGCAACCATTGCAACCATTCCAGCAAACACAACTCCAACCACCTTTCGGTCAATCAGTGGCTTCGCTCTGCCATCCCTGGTTTACAACAACCAACTTCTCCTATAGGTTTCCTATTTTTGAAACTTCCGCCACCGCCTTGTGCGGTACTACTGGTACCCTTACCCACGTCACAGCAAGTAGGTACTAATGACACCTTGCAAGATTTAATTTGCCACCAATCGCAGCAAGTAGGAACAATCAGACAAATTCAAACCTGTAAATCCAGTTATTTTAGTGCTAAAGGTCACAGGTCGAAGACACCGAACCCAATTCAAATTTCACTCTGAACTTACGGTCGGCGTCGCATCGGTGGTAAGCCGAAGCCATGGAAGATGATTCTGAGGAAGAGAGGGAGGAGGAGAGAAAGTGGGTGGCGCGTGTCCTGCAGTTTGGCCGCTACACGACGGCCAAACTGCTGGCACGCGGTGGAATGGGCGCTGCCTTCCGGGTCACAGTGCGTGACCAGTCGGCAAGAGCTTTGAAGCTGGCATTGCCAATGGCCAGCGGAGAAGGTGATGTCTTTCTGAAGGAGGCCAGGGCCGGCCAGGGCGGCGAAATACATCATGAAACAGTCATCATTCATTATTTCTCGTTGTTAATTTTACATTCATCTATCAATGAACCAAATAATGTTAACCCATGTGTTTTTTCATGATTCAGGTTTGTGGTCCTTTGCGGTTTTTCTCCAAAGCCACCGCAGGAAGGAAAGATCATGCTGACCCTGCGTCACCCCCACTTGGTTCCCATATATGGACGTGGAGAATTCACAAGGGGAAGTTGCAGTGGCTTGGATTTATTCAGCATTGCTTGTTTTTCAATTCGCGTCTGCACCAAAAGCGCCGCCACACACCCACCTGTTTCAAAACCAATTTGGCCTCACACCTGTTATGGGCCGATTGCTCGCAAAAACCATGGCAGCTGCTGGCTCCCGAAAAAGTGGGCATGACATGGAGATGGCATGGGCAGCACATGGACATGGTGCTGTGTCGTGTTGACCTGGCATGGCGTGTTGTCATGTTATGCCATGAGATTTGTATGTTTGCGATGTCTAGACTGTTGAAAAAGCATCCAAAATTTGCATCGCCGAGGTGCCACAAGAGCTTTCACAGCGCCGGAGGCGATGAGTTGTTCACGAAGCCGCGCGAACTCCGTGGCGCGCCGCGTGTCACCCAGCTGCCGCACCTGGAGACCGAAAGACCCCGAAAGACTGGCATGAATCTTATGCATTTATTGATGCGAATTTACATTTGAATTTGCTGAAGAACTTGGGCAATTTCTGGGCCACTTGATGCAACTTAGGGAGGGGACACTTCAGCACATTCAGCACATTCATGCCATCCATGTGCCAGAAAATATTCAAAGATTCCTGCTCCGGCCCTACAGGAACACGCGAAGTCGCGAATTTGTATTGCTACCGTCTTCATGCTTCTGGAAAAAAACAAACGCTTCTGCGTCAGACCAAAGGAAACCATTGTGTGGCCATCACAAGAAAAAGGCTGCGTTGGCGCATAATGCCGATGTCCCATGGCGCCCCACCTCTGGTGAATCTGTGGCCAGCATTCCGCACAGCCGTGCCATCAAAGCTTTGCTGGGCGGATGCGGTCTTGGCGACAGCAGCTTGGCTGTGATGACCCCCAAAACGCCACAGCCCGCAATCCGGCCTTTTAGAGACGGCCACTGGGCTGCAGCGCATAATGTCTCGAAAATTGCAACTTTGAACTCGCTCATCTCCATCGTCAATGCTTCAGCTAATGCAACCATCAATCCGCCACTGCCTTTGACGGATTGGCCCATGGCTACGGAAATGAATGCATCCAGGCCATCACTCGCTGCAAAAGCTTCAGCCCCTTGTAGATCCTCACACAGCCTGGCGCACCAACCAGCTGCTTCGGCATCCTCCTGTGGCAATTTGTCCCTGCAACAGTGCGCAACTTGTAAATTCTGCAAGTACATTGTCAATAAAAAAGAAGGACCGGATAACCCCACAAGTCAACTTCTTCCAATAATGAGCAACAAATATTGCAGCGGGGACGGGGAAGGAAGGAAAAACAAAGGAGGAGGTGGAGGAAAGATGGTTTGTGACAAAGTTGTGTGTGTGTGAAAGATGGTGTGGTGAAAGATGGTGTGTGTGTGAAAGATGGTCTGTGACGTGTGTGAAAGATGGTGTGTGACAAACTTGTGTGTGAAAGATGGTGTGTCAAAGATGGTGTGTGAAAGATGGTCTGTGACGGTGTGTGAAAGATGGTGTGACAAAGTGGTGTGAAAGATCGTGTGTCAAAGATGGTGTGTGAAAGATGGTGTGTGACAAAGTTGTGTGTGAAAGGTAGTGTGTGTGAAAGTTGTGTGTGAAAGAGAGGGTGTGACAAAGTTGTGTGTGTGAAAGATGGTGTGTGACAAAGTTGTGTGAAAGATGGTGTGTAAAAGATGGTGTGTGAAAAATGGGGTGTGAAACATGGTGTGTCACAAAGTGGTGTGAAAGATGATGTGTGAAAGATGGTGTGTGACAAAGTGGTGTGACAAAGATGGTGTGTGAAAAAATGGTGCTTTAAGGATGGTGTGAGAGCCAGCCCAGTGCCATAAGTGCCACGCCTGCCACGCAAAATGGAGGTCCATGTCGCCAAGTGCCACGCCTGCCACACAAAGTGGAGGTCCATGTCGCCAAGTGCCACGCCTGCCACGCAAAGCGACGCTCGATGTCGCCAAGTGCCACGCCTGCCACGCAAACAGCGGCGGCGTCCACGGCGCCAAATCCAACCCAAGCGCGCCACCAGAGCCAGCCCAGTGCCATAAGTGCCACGCCTGCCACGCAAAGTGGAGGTCCATGTCGCCAAGTGCCACGCCTGCCACGCAAAGTGGAGGTCCATGTCGCCAAGTGCCATGCCTGCCACGCAAAGCGACGCTCGATGTCGCCAAGTGCCACCCCTGCCACGCAAACAGCGGCGGCGTCCACGGCGCCAAATCCAACCCAAGCGCGCCACCAGAGCCAGCCCAGTGCCATAAGTGCCACGCCTGCCACGCAAAGTGAAGGTCCATGTCGCCAAGTGCCACGCCTGCCACGCAAAGCGACGCTCGATGTCGCCAAGTGCCACGCCTGCCACGCAAACAGCGGCGGCGTCCACGGCGCCAAATCCAACCCAAGCGCCCCACCAGAGCCAGCCTGGTACCATAAGTGCCACGCCTGCCATGCAAAGTGAAGGTCTATGTCGCCAAGTGCCATGCCTGCCGCGCAAAGTGATGCTCGATGTCGCCAAGTGCCACGCTTGCCACGCAAACAACACCGGCGTCCACGGCGCCAAATCCAACCCAAGCGCGCCACCAGAGCCAGCCCGGTACCATAAGTGCCACGCCTGCCATGCAAAGTGAAGGTCCATGTCGCCAAGTGCCATGCCTGCCGCGCAAAGTGATGCTCGATGTCGCCAAGTGCCACCCCTGCCACGCAAACAGCGGCGGCGTCCACGGCGCCAAATCCAACCCAAGCGCACCACCAGAGCCAGCCCAGTGCCATAAATGCCACGCCTGCCACGCAAAGTGGAAGTCCATGTCGCCAAGTGCCACGCCTGCCACGCAAACAGCGGCGGCGTCCACGGCGCCAAATCCAACCCAAGCGCGCCACCAGAGCCAGTCCAGTGCCATAAGTGCCACGAAGGTCCATGTCGCCAAGTGCAAGTTGTGTGTGGACAAGTTGTGTGTGAGCAAGTTGTATGATGACAAGTTGTGTGTGAAGTTGTGTGTGGACAAGTTGTGCGTGGACAAGTTGTATGTACCAAGTTGTGTGTGGACAAGTTGTGTGTGAGCAAGTTGTGTGATGACAAGTTGTGTGTGGACAAGTTGTGTGTGGACAAGTTGTGCGTGGACAAGTTGTATGTGACAAGTTGTGTGTGGACAAGTTGTGTGTGAGCCACGCTTGCCACGCAAAGTGACGCTCAATGTCCCCAAGTGCCACGCTTGCCACGCAAACAACACCGGCGTCCACGGCGCCAAATCCAACCCAAGCGCGCCACCAGAGCCAGTCCAGTGCCATAAGTGCCACGCCTGCCACGCAAAGTGGAGGTCCATGTCGCCAAGTGCCATGCCTGCTATGCAAAGCGACGCTCGATGTCGCCAAGTGCCACGCCTGCCACGCAAACAGCGGCGGCGTCCACGGCGCCAAATCCAACCCAAGCGCGCCACCAGAGCCAGTCCAGTGCCATAAGTGCCACGCCTGCCACGCAAAGTGGAAGTCCATGTTGCCAAGTGCCACGCCTGCCACGCAAAGCGACGCTCGATGTCGCCAAGTGCCACGCCTGCCACGCAAACAGCGGCGGCGTCCACGGCGCCAAATCCAACCCAAGCGCGCCACCAGAGCCAGTCCAGTGCCATAAGTGCCACGCCTGCCACGCAAAGTGAAGGTCCATGTCGCCAAGTGCAAGTTGTGTGTGAGCAAGCGGTGTGAGGACAAGTTGTGTGTGAGCAAGTTGTGTGTGGACAAGTTGTGTGTGGAGCAAGTTGTGTGAGTTGAGTGTGTGAGCAAGTTGTGTGTGAGTAAGTGGTGTGTTGAGTTGTGTGTGAGCAAGTTGTGTGATGACAAGTTGTGTGAGTTGAGTTGTGAGCAAGTTGTGTGAGTTGTGTGGGTTGAGTTGTGTGTGAGCAAGTTGTGTGATGACAAGTTGTGTGAGTTGAGCTGTGTGAGGACAAGTTGTGTGTGTGTGAAGTCGGGAGGAGGGCAGGTGGGCGGGAGGAGGGCGGGAAGAGGAGAAGGAGGAGGCGGCGGGATACAGAACCAAAAACAAAAACCCCACACAAAGATGTGGGGAATAATATGTATAACCGAAGGAAGTTTAGAAGTCAAACTTCCGACAATATGGACAAGTCAAAATGTTAAAAGCACAACATGTTCGGACCACTTTTGGAAGTTGAGATGTCGAAAAAGTGCACGCCGTTGTGGCACGAAGCACGTTTGCAAGTGAAAAAGCTAAAAGCACCTCACGTTCGGAGCACTCTTAGGAGTTGAGACGTCGAAAAAGTGCACGCCGTTGTGGCACGAAGCACATTTCGAAGTCAACATGTACAAAGCACACCCGCTCCGGACCACTTTTGGAAGTTGACATGTCGAAAAAGTACACGCTGTTGTGGCGCGAAGCACATGTCCAAGTCAAAATGCTGAAAGCACCAGGGGTTCGGACCACTTTTGGACGTTCAGATGTCGTCTGGATGTCGTTGCGCGTGGCAAGCACAAAGGGTTGTGGACCTTGTCAAAAGTGCGCAAAACGTGACAGTTTTTGTAGCATTTCCAAAAACGATGGCAGGCGTGGGACATTTGAAGAGGATCTGCAAAGATGCATTTTGCGTGGCAGGCGCAGTACAAGAGACATGTTCATCAGAGCTGTTAGGAGGTCCGGGCGCTGATTTCCTGAGAGGGGTTGCATTTTGGAGCATCATTGTTGTTGTGGTTGTGGTTGTGGTTGTTGTTGTTGTTGTTGTTGTTGTTGTTGGTTGTGGTTGTGGTTGTGGTTGTGGTTGTTGTTGTTGTTGTTGTCGTCGTCGTCGTCGTCGTGTGTAGCATGGTGCGGTTGAACGTCCAAAAGTGGTCTGAACATGTGGGTTTTTAGCATTTTGACTTCCAAACGTGCTTCGCGCCATTTCGCGCCACAACAGCGTACACTTTTCGATATCTCAACATCCAAAAGTGTTTTTAGCATGTTGTGTTTTTAGCATTTTGACTTTGAAACGTGCTTCACGCCGCTACCGCGTGCACTTTTTCAACATCTCAACTTCCAAAAGTGCTCTGAGAATTGCGCGTTTTTCACATGTTGGCTTCCAATCGTGCTTCGCGCCACAACGGCGTGCACTTTTTCGACATGTCAACTTCCAAAAATGCGTTTTGTGCATTTTGACTTCAAAATGTGTTTCGCGCCAAAACGGCGTGCAATTTTGCATCTCTCATCTGGCCAGAACCCGTCGCTTTAGCGAGCTTCGACGCTCTGGAGCCACAAAACATTCGTAAAAACATAGTGTTTGGCGACTTTTCTACCTTTTCGCGCACCTGCATCAGGCTCTTTCTCTGATCTTCTTTCTTCATCTCTTCTCTTCTCTTCTCTGAATCTTCGTACCTCCGCTTTCTCATCTGTCCATATTGTCGGGGGTTTGACATCTAGACTTTCTTCGATGATATTTGTACATGTTTGATATGTTGTTTTTGTGCTTTTCATTTCGTGTCTTTCCATGTTTTGGGTCCTCCTGCGCCGCCAGCAGCCAAGCCTCGCGGATCTCTGGCGCAGGGCGTGGCGACATGGCGCCCGCGCCCGGCGCAGTCGCGGCAGTCGCGGCCTCGGCACGACGGCGGCAGCTGGCGCCCATCAGCGCCTGGCACAACGAACAACAGGAGAGGTGAGTTGTATACCAGTAGTACTGCGCAAGGCGATGGCGGAAGTTTCAAAGATAGGAAACTATAGGAGAGGTGAGTTGTTGTGATGCATGGGTGGTCACCTCACCCACAACTGCAGGAAGTGCAATGTAATTGTAGTTGTAGTGGTAGTTGTTGAGTATTTGTCCTTGCAGTTGTAGTGTAGCTGATGTTGTTGAAGTTGTAATGCTGCAGTTGCAATGGTAGTTGTAGTTGTAGTGTAGTTGAAGATGTTGAAGCGAAATTGAAGTTGTATTTGTCGTGGTTGCAGGAGATGTAGTTGTAGCTGTAGTTGTAGCGTAGTGTAGTTGTAGCTGTAGCTGTAGTGAAGCGTAGTGGTAGCTGTTGTTGTTGTTGTTGTGGTTGTGTAATTGAAGTTGTAGTTGTAGTTGTAGACGTAGCGTAGTTTACTGATAGTGGTAGCTGTAGTTGCAGTTGTAGTTGCAGTCGTAGTGTAGTGGTAGTTGTAGCTGTAGTTGTAGCTGTAGTTGAAGTCTAGCCTGGTGTTGTGTAGTAGTAGTGGTAGTAGTGTAGTTGTCGTCGTAGTGTAGTTGTAATGTAGTTAAAGTTGTACTTGTAGTTGTAGTTGTGTAGTAGCAGTAGTAGCAGTAGTAGTAGTAGTGGTAGTTGTTGTTGTTGTTGGTTGTTGTTGTTGTTGTTGTGTAATTGAAGTTGTAGTTGTAGTTGTAGACGTAGCGTAGTTTACTGATAGTGGTAGCTGTAGTTGCAGTTGTAGTTGCAGTTGTAGTGTAGTGGTAGTTGTAGCTGTAGTTGTAGCTGTAGTTGAAGTCTAGCCTGGTGTTGTGTAGTAGTAGTGGTAGTAGTGTAGTTGTCGTCGTAGTGTAGTTGTAATGTAGTTAAAGTTGTAGTTGTAGTTGTAGTTGTGTAGTAGTAGTAGTTGTTGTTGCTGCTGCTGCTGTTGTAGTGTAGTTGTTGGTTTGCTGTCGTTGTAGTTGTAATGTAGTTGAAGTGTACTTGAAGTTGTAGCTGTAGTTGTTGTACTTGAAGTGTAGGCAGTGTAGTGAAAGTGTAGTTGAAGTGCAGTTGAAGTTGTAGTTGTAGTTGTAGCTGTTGTAGTTGCTGTAATTGTTGTACGTGTTGTACTTGCTGTAATTGCTGTAGTTGCTGTAGTTGTTGTAGTTGTAGTTGTAATGTAGTTGAAGTGTAGTTCAAGTTGTAGTTGTGTTGTAGTTGCAGGGTAGTTGTAGAGGTTGTACTTGTAGCGTTGTAGCGTTGTGTAACGGCAATTGTTGTTGTAATTGAAGTTGTAGCTTAAGTGTAGTTGAAGTTGTAGTTGTAATTGTGTAGTTGAAGTGCAGCTGAAGTTGTAGTTGTAGTGTAGTTGTGCTTGTAGTTCCAGTGTAGTTGCAGTTGTCTATCTATCTGTCTATCTATATATCTGTTTATCTATCTGTCTATCTATCTGTCTATCTAGCCATCTTTTGTCTATCTATCCATCTATCTATCTTTCTATCTGCAAGCTTGAAAACGAAGCAATTCTGCGAGACTTCCTTCAATAATGGCAAGTTAAGTGCAGAGCTGACGGCCTCGTGCCAATGCGTTTTACGATTTTTCCAATCCATGTGTCTAAAGTATTGCGCCTGCCACGAAAAGTGAAGCCAGGTCATACGAAGTGCTGCACCCGTCACACAGAATCATCTTCCCCAAACTGAAGATCTGATGCTCCAAAATGCAACCCCTCTCAGGAAATCAGCGCCCGGACCTCCTAACAGCTCTAATGAACATGTCTCTCGTACTGCGCCTGCCACGGAAGATGCATCTTTGCAGATCCTCTTCAAATGTCCCACGCCTGCCAACGCTTTTGAAACTGCTACAAAACCCTCACGTTTTTGCTCACTTGTGACAAGGTCCACAATCCTTTGTGCTTGCCACGCGCAACGACATCCAGACGACATCTGAACGTCCAAAAGTGGTCCGAACCCCTGGTGCTTTCAGCATTTTGACTTGGACATGTGCTTTCCGCCAAAACGGCGTGCACTTTTTCGACATGTCAACTTCCAAAAGTGGTTTTGTACATTTTGACTTGGAAATGTGCTTCGGGACACAACGGAGTGCAATTTTTCATGTCGCACCTGGCCACATGGCTCCGCACCTGCCGCTTTAGTGAGTCTACTTTTCGACCCTCCGGAGCAACAAATCATTGGAAAAAACACAGTGAACCGCGACTTTGCTACTTTTCGCGCGCCTGCATCTTCTTTCTTCCGACTCTTTCTCTTCTTTGACTCTTCCCACCTCTGCTTTTCCATCTGTCCATATTGTCGGAAGTTTCACTTCTAAACTTCCTTCGAAAATATGATAAATATTACATATGCATGTGGACGTGTGTAATCTACTCTAATGCAATGTAATGCCATGGATGGATGCCTGTATTTGTGCATTCAACAGGTATTTATGTAGGTAGTGCTTGTAAATATGAAATCGAAATAAACGAACTAAACCAATGTAAGTTTAACTGGCCCTCTCTGCGTTCTCCAACTGCAAACTTCTTGCTCATACAGCTGGCTGTTCACTGCTTGCCCCTCATGAGAAGGATGTGGGATCTGCACGTCTCAAAAGAAACTACCGCAACACGCGTGGTGCAGTGCGAGACAATCCAAAGACAAAACGCTGTCGTTCTTCGGCTCCTCTACACCCAACCTCCCACTTCTCGCATATTTCACCCACTGAAGCATTTACACACAGCTGCCTTTACACGCAAATGCCTTTACCTACACAAATTGCAGCTTCTACACAGGTGCACTTACACACAAAAACTTTTGCACAGAGACAGCTTGTACACACAAGCGTTTTTAACACCGATGCTTTCACACACAGACAACTTTTACACACAGGCGCTTTCGACACAGGCGCACTTACACACAGAAAGTTTTTACACACGGTGCCTTTACACACGGATGCTTTTACACACCGAAGCATTTCCACAGAGCAGCTTTTACACATGGGTGCTTGTAGAATCATTTGGACACAAACGGTTGATATATGCAGTGATGTTTCTACACTGAGACTCTTGTTTACACACGGGCGCCTTTCCACACAGCAGCTTTGAAAACTTTTGCACGAAGGCGCTTTTGGACACAGACAGATTTTACACACAGAAAGTTTTACACCTAGATGTTTTTACACACCACAGCAATGACATACAGAAAACTTTACACGCACACACTAGAATAGAATTGGGTCATTGGCACATTGGAGTGATCCGTCTTGAACTGAATCCCAATAGCGTGCAATCAAACAAGACGAACAAATACCGATAAAATGATAAAGAAGATCACGACCAGAATCTTGATCAAATACCCCAGAAAACAGATTGTGGAAACCGCGCAGGACCGAGACAAATTTGGAAAACTGGAGCAAATCAAAATTCTTGAACTTGAAGAACTTTATGGAAGGGTTCTCGGCTTAGCCCTTTGCGACAGTACAAAAAGATAGAGGTTTTACATCTGTTCAAATGTTCCACACACACACACACACGCGCGCGCGCATGCAAACACACACGCACTCTGCCGCAGCAGGGTGGGACGACCAAGGTCCGGACGGGTGAGATGGACATGAGGATCAAAGGGGATGAAGATGAGATGAAAGTGAAGATGGGATGAACAACTACTTAGCCAGGACACGAGGAGGGGCACGCAAAAGAAGAGGGAGGGAGCAAACACCAACACCAACACACCTGGCCCGGAGCGGGCGAACCCTGAAAGGGCAAGGGAAGAGAAAACAGAGGCAGACGGAAACGGAAACGGAGCAAGACCAGCGACGGAGGGGAGGACGGAAGCGCCTGAACCAACCTAGCACAGCGAAACCTACACCTACCTAGGCACGCGCAGGACCCAACCTACCTGGGGAGGGAAGAACGCATGAAATAGGGGACCGAATGGGGGGCTAGTTGGTGAAAAAGGTGAAGCAGCAAAAGTTAAATGGTATTCAGTTCCTAGAAAAGAGGTCGTGCGTTACTCCCTTGAAGGGACCGTAGTCGGTCATACCCACAAAGTGGGCATTAAACGGCTGTTCAAGTTCAAAGACATTAGGTGCACAATATGTTCAACCTCACCAAATACCAAAACAGACTACACCTGCAGGAAAAGGACATGCCTGTAACCTTAAAATGCCAGATGGTATGATTTGATGCTGTCATATCAGCATTCTCCCAAATGGGTTCCCTCAAATGGATGCATGGCACCATGTCGGAGCCACCATGGAAATCACACTAGAATAGAACTGGATCATCGAAGTGATCCGCCGGGAACTGAATCCCATAGCGTGCAATCAAACATACCGATAAGGAACATCACGACCAGAATCTTCAGTAAACAGATTGTGGAAACCGTGCAGGACCGAGACAAATTTGGAAATCTGGAGCGAACCGAAATTCTTGAACAACTTGAAGAACTGTATGGAAGGGTTCTCGGCTTAGCCCTTTGCCAAATCCGTGGAATGATTAGAAATTCATGTGGGGGTTCTTGGCCTTAGCCCCGGGCCATCGCAGAAAAAAAATGAATAAGCAGGTGCGTCACGGTGATCAGCCGTGATATCCGCATGTACTGTGGCCGCCTTGTTGGACCATCGCTCACAGGACATGGATGGGCCCCCCCGCATTTATTGACAGTACAAAAGGATAGAGGTTTTACATCTGTTCAGATGTTCCACACACACGCACTGATGGGAGTAGATTCTTACCCTGATGTGGAGCTTTAGAATGTTGGGGTAGTTGTCGCCTGCGTAGTGCCTAAGAATCCGCCTGGACAGTAAGTCTGAACCAAGCAAATTAAGCAAATTGAGTAAATGACCTGGTCAATCACCTGAAGCAGCCTGATGAGAACAGTTTGTCTAGTTTGTTTGCAGGTACACATCAGGACGTCGCCCAATGCATCACCAGAGAATGTGGGCGCCTTCGTTGGCAGTGATCCCACAAACTCTGTCACTGCCCCCTGCTGAATTTGACATTTATTGATTCTTTCCCGCATGACAGCTAGCGGGTTTCACACACACAGACAGTTGCTTTTACACACAGATGTTCCGCTCCTACACACGGAAGCAGAAAAAAAATGTGACAATGTGCGTTTGGCATATTTCTTTGGGGTAAGCACCGAAAGATCTAGTTTCTTTAGAGCCAAGTTGCAAAAACGTCGTAAATGCCACGGTTTTTGGCTTCTGGGGTCCCAAAAAAATCGAATGTGCGATAATGTGCGAGGTTTTTTGCTGCAATATGCTGCAATGGTGTTCAAAAAGGATAAACACACAAAAATCCATGTCTTCCATGGACACCCAACGCTTACAGTGCCTTACAGCATCGCTGGCGCACGAAACTATTCCGCCCCAAGAATTCAAGGCTCAGATTTGTCACAAGATGTCACAAGGCCCAACCTGGCCCCGGCCCAATTCGGATGGCCCAACGGTTCAACGATTCAACATGATTCAGCTCCCCAAGGATCGCTCAGCTCTGCCTCTCACTCGAGTCGTCCCCGATGTGCCATGTGCGAGATAAGACAGTTGGATACACAGAAGTTGTTCCAAAATCGACAAATGCTTTGAGATATCGATTTTTCTTGAACAGAATGGTAAGATATGGTAAGATGGAGCTGCCAAAATGCCAAGTTCAAACTCATCAAAATAAGATTTACTGACGAGGACCTTGCCTTGAGCCTCGCGATCCCGGGTCGATCCGGGTCGTCTGAAAGTATTGATAGCGATTTGCGGGGATTTGCGTGAGATGTGTCAGATGTGTGAAGTCGAACATCCCCTAGCCTACTCGAGCCTAGGCCCTAGGCGGAATTTTCTTCAGTCATGGCTACTCTGCATTTGTCTAGCCAAGGGAAGATTGGCAGCAAACTTCCAGCTACAGCTCACGTTAAAGCATGTTGCAAGGTTGGGCTTGAACCTCAATTTTTCGGTATCAACTAAGAAACAGGAGCCACAACCCAAAGGAGCCAAGTATCACGAGTTGGACAACATGATTAAGATATGATTAAGCAATCCCAGATGCACAAAAGTCTTGGGGAAATTCACATGACAAAATATGACAAATACCTGACCGTTCATTGCATTTTCTGGCGTTGAGCAGTATGACTCAGTATGAACGTGGGGGTTGTCCCAGTATCTATCTCCAAATTGTATTCACCACCCACTGCCACCCAAGATCCTGAACAAATCCTTTTGCAATCAAACCTGCAAAGCTGGTGCTGACTAGTGAATGCCCAAGCGTTTTGAAAACAAGGTCTGCGCTGCCGGAAGCAATGCTGGGCAATGTCCTGAAGCGAAATCTTTTTTAAAGTTTGGATTACCAAGGTCTGTTTGAACTGTCTGTGTTTTTGTTTCGAGATCTGGGACCTGTTATGTGAAAGGGTCTATGTGACAGATCCATGCGCACCGGGCTGGTCACGCTGTTTTTGGGGTTTATGGGGGAAAGCATGGGAAAGCTGAAAAGCATTGAAAAGCTCTAAAACTTGAAGAGACGTGGGACGTGGTGAATCAAACACAGCGCTTTCTCTGTGTCTTCTGAAGGGAGGTGATCCAGGCTGTTCGGGAGTGATAGCCGATGCTCTCTCTGATGTTCTTTACTTGGATCTCTGCCCAGTGCTTCTTGCAAGGGCTTCCGGGCTTCCACCTCTGGATGTGTTCAAGATGCAAACATTGCAATGGGATGAACTGTATATTTCCCTCATCTTAGGTTTGTCAAAGAATTTGCAGTGATGGACAGCCGGAGTGGGCCGATCACCGGGAAATTTTGTCTGTACAATTATATAATCCATATGATCCGTTTGTGACAGTTTTGTTCTGGTTGGTCCCGCTTATCCCTATTCTCCGCCTTTGGGATATTATACCAACATCTCAGCAAAGGATATGTGGCTCAGACTGTCAGACTGACTTTCAGCCGGACCTGCCTTTAAGGCTGCTTTTAAAGCTGCAGCTGCAGCTGCTGGATAAATGTGTAGTTTGTTTCATCTCAATGCGAGAAAGGCTGATGGCTACAGCCTGCGTGGTCGTCGATTTGGAACGGAAAGCGTATGTCACGTGCACGTTTCGGATGGCAACAGCTTGAGGCAAGCGGCAGCACAGGCAGCACAGCAACCGGAGCAAACTGCGCAGACTTTGGAAAGGACAGCTTTTCCATAAGATGTTTGCACTTTTCTCACAGCTTTTCTCACAGCTTTTCTGACAGCTTTTCTCATTCTCCCGCTGCTCATGCTCGGACTCTGACTTCACACTGATCACTGATCCGAAAGCTGACCTTTCGATGGCCTTTGCTTTGACTTGTGCATTCGATCGAACATAGCCAAAGCGCCCCTTGAAAACAATCAATTCAAAGAAAAATCTCAGAAACTGAGTGGGATCCAGCCCACTTCAATTCAGAGTACCATCACACCAAATGATTCTGCAACAGAAAGGGGAAAAGCAATTGAAGGCACACTGCAACAAGGTCCATGCTTCCGAGTAACTCTGATCGCAGGACAGGAAACGGAGGGGAGGATGTGCGTTATTTGGGGCACATTTCGTGCCTGAAGGTCACCACCAATTGTCTCGATCTGTCCATTTGGAACGGGCGCAAGTTACGCTAGGGTGGCTTTTGGTCTCGCAGCGGCGCGAAGTGCAGTGTTCGACTTTTGACGTAAATGCTGGGCATGCAGTGGCATCAAGCAGCAAGCGGTACAAAGAATCATCCTGGAATAGCAAAAAGTGGCACCTGGCACACTCGTGATCCAAAGAATCCTGGACTGGAATGAAATGTGAAGTGGCCGGCTTGTGCAGAGTGTCCTGCCGCATCAAGCACAAAGCTGCAAAATCAAAGTCTCCCCGTGCTGAACCCTCCTGGGGAATTTCTTGCAGACTACTTGCTTTAAATTGGGTTGGTTTCTTGGCTCTAGCTACCCTGTGCATCATTCTGTCAATCTTGGCAAAGTTCTCAAACAAAATGGTACATTCTATGGTACATCCATGTGCAGTCTGTGCAATTCTGACGAAAGGACCGGGACCCAACAAAATGCCTGCTGACTAATCTGACTAATCTGACTATTTGCACTTGTACTTGCTGTGCATTAGAGCGCGCAACACGCCCGGGATTGGGGATTAACACTGGGGATTTCCACAGGGCTTCCACATGAAATGGCCCCAGCTACTTGAAGCATCTCGAAGCATCTAGTAGGCATACTGTGAATATCTGTGAATCATACGGTCAAAATTGGGACTGCTCCACTTAGGGAACCCATTCTTTGAAGGCACATTTGCAAGCTTTTGGGTGGCGGGATTTCAAGGTGCCTCCAGACTACTTGCATATCTTGCATCTGGCAAAGGAATTGATGGGTTTCAGAGAGGTTTCAGTGAGGTTTCAGAGTTGTCATGGACGAAGTCTCGCTACCCTATGCTTTGGTCCGAGTGCCGCGCTGTCAAACACTGGCCTCACCAAACTCATGTCGGCAGCAGCAGCAGAATAACTTGTGGCACCGGAAAGCCGACCCGCAAACATGACTTGGACTTGGCTGACTTGGACTTGGCTGACTTGGCTGGTCGCCAAAACCTGGTGCCGGTAGGACAGCCACAAGGCTGATCCTAAAGGTCCTAAAGTCTGTTCACATCCACGTTGTGGCAGCTTGTCAGCTTACAGGTAGCTTAGGGTCTTGCCAAGTCTCACCTCGGAGGAAAGCATCCCATACAGAATGTTCTGGTGTTATCGCGGCGTTATCGCGTCTCTCATTTGTGTCCTCTGGTGTGGCACCAACACAGTGACGAGAGGGTTATCAGAAACCCATCCTACTTCGAAAAAGGGAGAACGGGCACCCTTAAGGCCCTTGGGCCGCTAAAGTTGTTTCCTGCTGTCAAAGTCCATGCCGAGCAGGTCTACAAACAGCCTCTCCAGGTAACAGCTCGTGGCGACTAAGAGTAACTAACAACCCTTACAGAATTTGCCTTCCTTTACAGAATTTGGCTTGGTGTTACTCTTAGTGTCTTGCTTTCTGTCTTCTGTCTTATAATTGGCTAAAAAATGTTGAGCGTGAATTGGCGTGAAAAGCCACCAAGAACGTGGAAAAGCCCTTTCAGATCGTGAAAAGCCACTCGAGAGAGCGTGAAAGTCCCGTGAAAATGTGGTCCGTTTGACATTAATTGTGCTTGCACGGCATACAAAGGTTGGCGATGCAAACTGCATATCTCGACCTGCTGGCCTCAGAAGGCTTTTGGGCGCCCTGGGCCTGGAATTTTCATGGTGGATTCAAGATGCCTTGGCAACTGCCCTGCCCGGCAGCAAGTGGATGTGAGCGTGGTGCTCACGAATGTTTGATGTATGGGCAGCCTTTGCACTACGTGTGCCCAATGGCAGCTGCAAAGCCTTTAGCTGCTTTAGCTCGTCACTCGTCATGCGAATCGGTTCCGAATTGAGTCCGAATCTGCTCCAAGCTTGCCCCTCGTTCCCAGCGCTGTGAAGCCATCCGCAGCTCAAGAGTTCCAATATGTTCCAATGTTGACTGCCTGTGACTTCAACCCTCAACTATCCGCAACTGCATCGAACGGCGGAAGCTGCTTGGGCTCACGCTCAGCCATCGCCAGCTTGCATCAGCTTGCCTAGACCTGCCTAGATGCATCGTTTTCAGCTGCACTGAAGCCTAGCACTTGAAATCATTCCAGGACCCTCACCGTGCGCAGTGCTTTCCCCTGCATCCCGCACTTGAACCAGCTGCTGTCTGATCAAGCGAACGCAGGGATGAAGAAAATGCCTCCACGCTCAAGTCAAGCGGCTGACAACCCCCTTTGACAGATTTCGACAGCATGGTGACTTCGGAGGCCGACGGCTGGTGAAGGGGTCCTGTGCACCGGACCAGGAACAACAACAGCTCCCCTTGCAGACAAATGTCACAAAGAAAATGGCACCAACGTTTCCTCACAAACTGCATAGGATCCAGCCGGCTTCAGGTCACAATGCTATGATCAGATCAGATGGTTCTGTCAAGAGAACTGGATATCCGTTTGTTGCATACACATGAGCAAACTTTTGAGCGATTTTGACGGCGCGGTTCAAGAAAATGCCTGCAGACCACTTGCTTTGACTTGTCATCATGCACAATCCATCCGCCAAAGGAACATGGTGAACAGACTCTAGCTACCCCAAGCATCGTACTGTCAACACTGAGAAGGCTCTCTGAGGTCGTCTAGAGCAAACTTATGTCCCCCAGGCAAGAAGCCTAGAACATGGTGGTAACAGTATGGCAGAATTGCATCGTGCACTTCTCTCATCAATTTTCCTTGCGCCGCCAAGCTGGCATGGGACAAACGTCAACACCGCCAACACCGGATCTTTCCGATGAGGTGACTACGCTTCTGGCATTTTGCGACTGTGCATGGCCTAAAGGACTTGCCTGTTTTGGTCATTTGGGTTTTGCTTCGGTCTGCGCCTTTCTTGTCGCTAATGATGGCAACTGCAACGCAGCACTCCCGTGTTTTTGTCCCGCATCCGTGTTGTGGGCTGGCTGGGTCTAGTAGGACATCCAGAAATATAAAGCCCTCGTTCTGAATTTTGTTCGACAAAGCCTCGGCTTTCATGGATGTGTGCACCGGACCAGGAACAACAACAGCTCCCCTTGCAGATAAATGTCACAAAGAAAATGGCACCAACGTTTCCTCACAAACTGCATAGGATCCAGCCGGCTTCAGGTCACAATGCTATGATCAGATCAGATGGTTCTGTCAAGAGAACTGGATATCCGTTTGTTGCATACACATGAGCAAACTTTTGAGCGATTTTGACGGCGCGGTTCAAGAAAATGCCTGCAGACCACTTGCTTTGACTTGTCATCATGCACAATCCATCCGCCAAATGAACATGGTGAACAGACTCTAGCTACCCCAAGCATCGTACTGTCAACACTGAGAAGGCTCTCTGAGGTCGTCTAGAGCAAACTTATGTCCCCCAGGCAAGAAGCCTAGAACATGGTGGTAACAGTATGGCAGAATTGCATCGTGCACTTCTCTCATCAATTTTCCTTGCGCCGCCAAGCTGGCATGGGACAAACGTCAACACCGCCAACACCGGATCTTTCCGATGAGGTGACTACGCTTCTGGCATTTTGCGACTGTGCATGGCCTAAAGGACTTGCCTGTTTTGGTCATTTGGGTTTTGCTTCGGTCTGCGCCTTTCTTGTCGCTAATGATGGCAACTGCAACGCAGCACTCCCGTGTTTTTGTCCCGCATCCGTGTTGTGGGCTGGCTGGGTCTAGTAGGACATCCAGAAATATAAAGCCCTCGTTCTGAATTTTGTTCAACAAAGCCTCGGCTTTCATGGATGTGTGCACCGGACCAGGAACAACAACAGCTCCCCTTGCAGACAAATGTCACAAAGAAAATGGCACCAACGTTTCCTCACAAACTGCATAGGATCCAGCCGGCTTCAGGTCACAATGCTATGATCAGATCAGATGGTTCTGTCAAGAGAACTGGATATCCGTTTGTTGCATACACATGAGCAAACTTTTGAGCGATTTTGACGGCGCGGTTCAAGAAAATGCCTGCAGACCACTTGCTTTGACTTGTCATCATGCACAATCCATCCGCCAAAGGAACATGGTGAACAGACTCTAGCTACCCCAAGCATCGTACTGTCAACACTGAGAAGGCTCTCTGAGGTTTTCGCAGGCCCTGTGGCGAGCTGTTTCATCTCACAGTTTCACCTTTCGCACCGAGTGCAGGACTGGCAACCTTGCTACTTCTATTGATCATGCCAGGTTTTGATTTTGACCGAATGGCCTTTTGAGGGTCCAAGTGTCTTTGATCCTGTGCAGAATCATCATACCTCAACTTGAAGTTGGTCCAGCACCCCTGAATCATCCAAACCTGCTGCCCCCGGAGGTATTGGACTATGCCCTACTCTGAGCTCAAGGATGTAAATGCTTGATTGGTACACCTATTAGTGGGATCCATCCAAAGCCGGCCATGCCCAACACCCAAATGTGATCACATACTTTCCATCTATATGGCAGCCCGAGAACTCTGCAGTCCCCATGACCCACGGATATTGCAAATGACATTATCATGCGGTATAGCTATACGGTATAGCGGTATAGCTGCTTGGGAATTCTTGTCAGATTCCACGTTGGTGCCGTGGACACGGGTGGACAGACACCAGCATGCAGAACGAACAAAGAGTCTTGAGGAACAACACCCGGCTTGGCTGGCAAGACAGTGGCCATCAGTGTCCATCTGATGCGGCAATGCTACTCATGAAGCATCTCCCCCTGCATTGAAATCCTCCCATCGGATCTAAGATGCTGAGCTAACCTCTACGTGGGCAACCTTGCTACTTCTATTGATCATGCCAGGTTTTGATTTTGACCGAATGGCCTTTTGAGGGTCCAAGTGTCTTTGATCCTGTGCAGAATCATCATACCTCAACTTGAAGTTGGTCCAGCACCCCTGAATCATCCAAACCTGCTGCCCCCGGAGGTATTGGACTATGCCCTACTCTGAGCTCAAGGATGTAAATGCTTGATTGGTACACCTATTAGTGGGATCCATCCAAAGCCGGCCATGCCCAACACCCAAATGTGATCACATACTTTCCATCTATATGGCAGCCCGAGAACTCTGCAGTCCCCATGACCCACGGATATTGCAAATGACATTATCATGCGGTATAGCTATACAGTATAGCGGTATAGCTGCTTGGGAATTCTTGTCAGATTCCACGTTGGTGCCGTGGACACGGGTGGACAGACACCAGCATGCAGAACGAACAAAGAGTCTTGAGGAACAACACCCGGCTTGGCTGGCAAGACAGTGGCCATCAGTGTCCATCTGATGCGGCAATGCTACTCATGAAGCATCTCCCCCTGCATTGAAATCCTCCCATCGGATCTAAGATGCTGAGCTAACCTCTACGTGCCACTTTCTTTGTTTACAGTTTTACTGATGTACCTACGGGCAGCCTTTGCACTACGTGTGCCCAATGGCAGCTGCAAAGCCTTTAGCTGCTTTAGCTCGTCACTCGTCATGCGAATCGGTTCCGAATTGAGTCCGAATCTGCTCCAAGCTTGCCCCTCGTTCCCAGCGCTGTGAAGCCATCCGCAGCTCAAGAGTTCCAATATGTTCCAATGTTGACTGCCTGTGACTTCAACCCTCAACTATCCGCAACTGCATCGAACGGCGGAAGCTGCTTGGGCTCACGCTCAGCCATCGCCAGCTTGCATCAGCTTGCCTAGACCTGCCTAGATGCATCGTTTTCAGCTACACTGAAGCCTAGCACTTGAAATCATTCCAGGACCCTCACCGTGCGCAGTGCTTTCCCCCGCATCCCGCACTTGAACCAGCTGCTGTCTGATCAAGCGAACGCAGGGATGAAGAAAATGCCTCCACGCTCAAGTCAAGCGGCTGACAACCCCCTTTGACAGATTTCGACAGCATGGTGACTTCGGAGGCCGACGGCTGGTGAAGGGGTCCTGTGCACCGGACCAGGAACAACAACAGCTCCCCTTGCAGACAAATGTCACAAAGAAAATGGCACCAACGTTTCCTCACAAACTGCATAGGATCCAGCCGGCTTCAGGTCACAATGCTATGATCAGATCAGATGGTTCTGTCAAGAGAACTGGATATCGGTTTGTTGCATACACATGAGCAAACTTTTGAGCGATTTTGACGGCGCGGTTCAAGAAAATGCCTGCAGACCACTTGCTTTGACTTGTCATCATGCACAATCCATCCGCCAAAGGAACATGGTGAACAGACTCTAGCTACCCCAAGCATCGTACTGTCAACACTGAGAAGGCTCTCTGAGGTCGTCTAGAGCAAACTTATGTCCCCCAGGCAAGAAGCCTAGAACATGGTGGTAACAGTATGGCAGAATTGCATCGTGCACTTCTCTCATCAATTTTCCTTGCGCCGCCAAGCTGGCATGGGACAAACGTCAACACCGCCAACACCGGATCTTTCCGATGAGGTGACTACGCTCCTGGCATTTTGCGACTGTGCATGGCCTAAAGGACTTGCCTGTTTTGGTCATTTGGGTTTTGCTTCGGTCTGCGCCTTTCTTGTCGC